GGGGGGAGAGGTGGCTCGGATGACGGTCAAAGGACTGCGTCGTCGATATGCCGGCGCAATTTCTTGGTGTCGCCCTCGAGGTCGCGAAATACACGCGTCGGGCACTTGATGGACCACTTGACTTCGACGCCAGTGCATTGCATAGCCTGAGTCGTCAGAACTTCTCCTTGTAACAGACGTTGGCACACAACACACACAGATGTAGGGGTAGTGGCTCAAATGAAGGTGGATTCAGAAGTGAGCTTTGCTCTAGAACCTCCATAATTATCATCGCCAAAGACATGCATACATGTAAGTAGTGCAACCTTAGCTGCACTGATTGAAGTTTGTCATATCTCTCAATATATGCAACCTTCAAGTAGTGTGTGTAGGATCAAAACAAGGTAGCTATTGGCCCTCGACATACTGAAGTAATCGAGGGATGTGAAGCCTGGAGCTCTTCCAGCTTCAATCACATATATATAGCTTTAACTATATAACTTCAATCCTTGTCTGCCTATGGCTAACACCTTGGAGGACGATCGTGGTCAACTCAAAGTGCCACTTAGGTGGTGGACGACAGAGTTCGTTAGGCGGGTTGCCGTAGCAGAGGATGCGGTGAAGCTCATAACTAGTGGAAAGGTGCAAAAGCCAGGGGGAACACTGGGTGGTTGTGGGTGAAACGGAAAGTGAATTAGCTTAGCTACCAGTGAAAACAACTGGCTCTAAAGACTCGACGGACTAGCTAATGGCTAGCCAATGAGAACACGAAATCCTAATGATGTCCCGTGCATATGGCTGGCTATCTACTGTCTGAGGAAAAGCCTATAAAAGGCACAAAAACCTCCTACTAGCTGCAGCCAATGCTTCTACTCCGAGTACCTGAGGCTTCAGGGCAGTGGTGATGTTCATGACAGAACAGCTGACTGGAGTACCTGAGGCTTCAGGGCAGTGGTGATGTTCATGACAGAACAGCTGAAATCACGACGTTATCGAGCAAAGTAGTATGATTGGATAAAAAGAATGATGGTTGGAGTATGATTGGATATAATGCACAAAGATACCTTTTATAATCAGATACTGTATACCAGGTCCGGCGATTGTTTGGCAGTTCATTCCACTAACCGAGGAGGAAATTTTGAGTAGAACACAACTGAGCACACAATAATGAATGCTCAGTAACGTTACCAATCCACTGTACAGTGTAGTGTACAGTGGACTCGCTCGCAAGCACTCGGTATTACAGTACTACATACTTGGTCTTCAGCCTCAGAAACAATCATGAGGCGATAGGGTCGTCCTATGTAGGGTACCTATTAATATCGCCCTGTATACTAGTATTGGATACAGTACTGTAGGCCATAAAGTCATAGATTTCGAATGCCAAATCCAGAATTATATTATGCTAATATTCAAGTGGTTGGCAGAGTTTCCACAATTAAAAAAAAAGCACTGATTCGATTCGACAAAACAAGGCCACGGTGTCATCAACACCCTTTCTCGCCCGAGTGACTTTTGATTGGTCAATCCAGTCGAACAGTTTCGTGCGACACAAACAGGTTGTACTGAGAAACAAGCTCACAAGGAAATTAGCACGCCGTCGCCGTCGCCGCCGCCGCTGCGGGCCCACCAGAAGCATGAATGCCGACACGCCCATTTTGCAACTGTGCATGATGTTTACAGTGCTACTGTTGTCGCTGGTCGTCTTGTTCGCTGTGGGCCGTTGGGTATGGAAGAAGAAACCGACGAGAGGGACCGCCGTCTCGGGCAGCGGTGAATTGCTACCCCTCGTGTCGACACCGAGGAGCCCGCAACCGGCATCCAAGGACGGCATTGCCATGATCACGACAAGTGGCAATGGTCCAGCCACTGCAATGGAATGGGTTCGAGCAATAGGAACGACGATTGCATTTAGTGTGTCGCTGGTCGTGATGTGGTTCTGGTGATATCCAACGGTCGACCGGCGGGTAGACAGGAACTAGCTTCCGCCGCTCCGAGGAGCCTTCCCATCCAGCGCACCCTTTCCATGAGCGTGAGTGCATGGTAGATGGCATTTGATCCATCCATCCTACCAACGGTATTATCGCCGCCGCACAACACAAGATGTTTGATTTACAGTTCAGGTAATGGTATTATTATATTTGGTCATGGCGTATTTTATTTGATTTCAATTGGTACTTCCTCTGTTCCGGAAAGAAGTATACCAATATAAATATGTGATTTTTAACTTCCAGTTAACTAATGTCTTACTACGTAGTACAATTTAAGTATAGTAACCACCAAAAGTCGTATTTTTATTCAAAAACTACAAAACTACGACGAAACTTCACATGATGTGACGATGCGCCACTGTCTACTCCTCATTAACTATAGTTCAAACTCTCATATCAAATGCAAACATAAAACATCACATTGGACACTACACCCATTTTCGGTTACGCCGAGGGTTGGACGGCGGCCACTGTTTGTCTTGATAAGGGGTCCGACATACACACTGCCATGAGAGTCGGATGAACGCTTCCGTCCGTCAGCCGTTTTTGGTCGTCGTTTGTGGGGTCATGGAAGACGTTGCGTATCTCGTCACGAAATGCGAAATTGTTGGTTCGTAGATATGCCTAGCACCTCTACGAACCAATAGCAGTCGTTTCCACCTTATTTGAGGTCGATTGGAGGAGAATTAATAGAGAGGTTTAGCAACTCATTGTGCTTTCCACTTGTTTACTGTTAGGCGTCGGTTTTACGTGGCTAAAAGAGTGGTACTTCTGCTGTAACTGTGTCACAAGGTTGAATAAATACATGGTGTTTTAGCTCATTCACTGGGTTTTATAAATGCCAAATAACTCTGAGCAATAATAATCACATGTGATGCTGAAGTGATGAAAACACCTTGGCTGTTATTCCATCGCGTAGTACATGGAGGTAGCTGTACTACGCGATGGAACAAGAATATGGCGTGGGTTTCTACGATGTGGCACCATTCGTACATCGATGTACGGTAGAACGCCGGCGCTTGTCCTCACTATATGTCATTCATGATGACCAGTGAATTGTGCAATTTGGTCCCAGAGCCTATTCAGGATGAATTTGAACTACAGTGGGAGGTGAGGGAAATATGGCGTTCAAATGATATGCTACGAATTAATCTATTCGTGTGAAGAGATCCTTATGCTGCGCTCGGTAGTTGCCATGTCAGACGAAGAATTAGTATTTGTCGCCGAATCTTGTCGGTTTGCAAATGCAATCGGTTATCCGAAAAATACGGATAAAACTACTATCTACTACTCCGAGTACTATATACCAGCAACATACTAACAAACATTATACTAATTCCTCGTCCGACATGGCAACTACCAAGCGCAGCACAAGGGTTTCTTCACACGAATGGATTAATTCGTAGAATGTCATCTGAATACCATATTTCCCTCATCTCCCTAGTCAATATTCATGAAGATCCACGAATATTCGAATCTTTTGACCTTGTTGTGTGCAGAGCGGCCATGGCCCTCAGCACTTGCACCTCGCCACTTGCACATCGCTCGCTCTCGCTGGTGGAACCAATGAAATAGTAATATGGTCGCCTAAATTCTATAAAGTCTCACCTCTATGCATAACACTACCTCTAATATCAGATAATTGTGTCACAAAATGCCTAAATATCGATACCTAGAAATATGAAACATCCACAACTTGCACAGTGGATAACCTCTTTCAATTTGTATTTATTTTTACACATGGGAGCGTCTCTTAACATACGAAGTAGGGTATTCGCGGGGATTTCATCTACAGTAGTACAGACTCTAGTTCGAAAAATTGTCTGTAGTAAGTACTAGCACCTTTTGTTTTGACTGGATTGAAAAATTGTATTGGATTTGTGTCTTAAAATATGCATTATTGATATCGACATCGCAACTATCCGGATAAGTCAGCACAGCATTTACTGTTAGTACTTGGAAAAAAGGAAAAATGGGGTGACAAAATATTTCATCCCATTTTCTACCCATTCTATGACCATGATTGATTGGACATAAATCATTAGACTAAGATGCATGCTGATTGGTCAATAACACAGTGTTGTCGGCGATGCGCAGAAAGGTGTGGCGGGTGCAGCGCAGGTGGCGCGTGAACCATCCGTCGTATGTGCCGTCGGACTTGACTTGCTGCCACGTGGTACTGGGTACGACAACGGTGTTGATGGCAGGGGCGCGGTTGCTACGTTCGTCGATCGAAAGGCGGCGCCAACGGCAGCAACCCACACTGCAGTGGTCGAGTCCATGAATTGAAAAGTTGGAATGAGATTGGGATCAATGATTGGATAGTGGGCATCCATTATTAGCCAGTCATTGGCGAAATAGCTGAGGTGCCCAAAATGGGATGAAATGGGGTCATGTACCCCATTTTGAAAAATGGATTTTGTAATGAGTTGGGGAGCGTTTTGATTGGATAATGCCCATTTTGAAAAGTGCTTGGAACAGGCTAAGTTTTGATCCGGTACAATAATAGCATGAATATTTCCCTCATCTTGCTGTAAATGTAAGGGTACAATTCCCTCATTAAAACAGTTCCACTGTTGTTTTGACCCGAAATCCTGTTTCAATGAGATTTATATGGAACTTTGTAAGCTCAGACCACCTCACCTGTTACTAGGGGTTAAGTGCATCTCAGTGGTTAGCGATAGCTAACCACTAGCGATGCAGTTAACCCCGGAGATTTAGCATCGTACATGTACTCTCCGGGGGTAGGACGGAGTCCAAGGTTACAGAGCTACTGGCGAAAAGATGTATCCGGATGCAATAACTCCCTCATTGAAACAGTATTTCAGGTCAAAACAACATTGGAACTGTTTTACTGAGGGAATTATTCACGTAAAGGTCAGGCCAGCATCACTATCATAAGTCCAGAGGTTCCACTTGCCCGGTGCATACCTTCTGAGTATGTATCAAGTGCGTCAAGGTTCATCATGTGCATGCAATGAGAACGAGTAGTACATGTGTATGCTGGGTATAGCGAGGTTGTACAAGTAAGAGAACGATGGTGACTGGGTGGGTCGATTAGGTTTGGTGATAAATAGGATAATGCGGCGTTCATGCTGCAGGAACTGTGGGCCACGGCCGCGCGATTTCCACCGACGCGTCTTCTTCGGTGACGGAGATTTCGATGAGGGAGGACTCAACGGCCTCTTCAGCTTCAAACTCTTGGACTCCTTGTTGATCCGCGGATGCTTGGTGATCTTCCGCTTCTGCTTCACGGACTTCGACTTGGCGCGGGCTCGACAACGACGACGTGGAGTTCGAAGGTGATGGTGCTGAATGGGGCGGCTGTTCCACGGATCTGCACCGATAGCGGTACGACGTCACCGCTCGTTTGACCCACATGAGCGACGATCGTTGTTGGGGAGAGTGCTTCTCGTTCACCGTGTACGTGAACGGTTGGTACGACGTCAGCTTGGACGTGGCCATATCTGTTGGAGGCGGCTACTTGGAGAATGGGGATGATGGGCGTTCCACCTGTGCTTGCGACACATGCGTTGATGGTCATAAGAGGTGAGATGTAGCCAGCCGAGGGATTCCATCATTGCATACGGTTTCCACAAACGACTTCCTACCGGTGGTTTCGTGGCCTACTAAAAAGGAGTAGTACAACTATATAAACGAATCCCTCGTCGATACATTGTGCATCCAGAACTGCCTGAATTCTAAACGTAACGCTCAGGTCAACCTTTCTGTGGTTTAGAATTTTCAAGTTAGTTGCGTTGTAGTAATGCACTAGTAATACTACGTAGTATTACTACACAGGAAATGGGTAGTGAATCTTCAATAATGTTTATTTGTGTGTATTGTCGATTTGATACAAATTTGAGGAGGGGGTGCCAATCGATCTGATTGGTTGAATTTCTTTGAGAAGGTTTTGATTGGTTAATAATTTTGAGCTCATCTGAGGTAGCCAATCAAATCGATTTAAATTCCAACGAGAAACCATGAAATTTCACTCGAAAGCACAACATTTATAAAACTCCGTTTTAGTGTTTGGCGGACGGTTTTTTTATCCGGATTTGGAGGTAGTATCCGGTTTCGATTTCGTGCAACGATGCCAAGTGCGCCAGCCGCTGCGGCACCAGCGGCGTCGACGCTGACGACGACATCCGATTCCGGATATGCAGTTGGGGCGATCCTTGTAGCCCTGTGGATGGGGGAGACGGAGCGCACGTGTGTCGTGATTGATCGAAGTATGGCCTCCTCCATATCGGAATCGTGGATCACCTCGATGGATGTAGAAGCGACCACGGCGGGCAAGTTCAAGTACTACGTGCATTGGCACGATTTCAATCGGCGCATGGACGAATGGATCAATGCAGACGAGATCGTGCGTCGGGGGACCGACGAGGAAATCAAACATTTGCAGAAAAAGGAACACAAGGAGAAGGAGAAGGAAAAGGAACATGGTATGTAGGACAGTCTTCACACGCGTCATGATTGAACGACTGCGTAGACAAAACAGGAGGCACGGTGGGAACTGGCGACCACAGTGACAGCAAGGACAGCGGGCGCGGCACGCGCGGACACAAGCGGAAGACAGAGGTACAGTACATATCTCACATGCGCCTCCTCGTCGATCCCGTCCTCACATGCTGCATCATCGTAGAGCGACTTTGCAGAGCCCGACGAGCATGACGAACACGAAGGCATGGACGCCGCGAGTATCCGAGAGCACGAAGAAGTGACCAAAGTCAAGGCATGTGCTGTCTGTCACATATGTCCATCGATCATCATGGGAGCATCATGTATTGCTGCTTAGAACGTTCGATTCGTGGAAATCGGCAAATTTCGCATGGCGGCGTGGTACTTTTCGCCGTTTCCAAAAGAATATTTCCCCGACGGCAGTATCGACTGTGTACGACTTGGGAGATTTTGACCAAAAATTCGCATAAAACGCTCAAAATTCGACGTTTGTAGCTGTATTTTTGCGAATTTTGCATGACATTTTTCCGTTTCAAGTCGGAACTCCGTCATCATCAAGAACGCGTGGCTTGTTCCAGGGTACGAACGATATACGATGATGGACATATACACGTACTGGCAATACAATATGATGGTTATCATACTCATTTCCAAATTGTATGTAGTACCCTCCTGGCAACGAAATCTACCGCCACGAAGGCATTTCCGTGTTTGAGGTACGGAAAACGAGGCAAAACTATTGGTCCAAATGAGTGTAAAGTCTACTCAAATATCGATACCTAGGTGGATGGCGCAATCTCCAAACCGTACTGTCAAAACCTGTGCTACTTTGCCAAGTAAGTATCGATGCATCAGAATTATGCGAATAACAAGGTTGATATTGATTTTTTAGGCTGTTCCTCGATCATAAGACGCTGCATTACGACGTGGATCCGTTCTTGTTTTACGTCATGTGCGAAGTCGATACCCGGTATGCGCTTTTCCCTATATATATATATTATTGATTTGAGCCGAAGTTGGCCTTTTTGGGCTGATTCGCCAAATCCATTCGATCGATCGATGATTGTATGTACAGAATGTTTGTTGTATCTAAAAAACGTCCTGTGTCACACTAATACAAGTCATACACTAATTCAATGTGAAATGGTGGAAGCGAGAACTTGAATGGCCACATGATTCGTGCTATGGGTTTTGATTGGTCGATCGAGTTGGTGCTGAATCGAACGGACAATATATATATTGACCTTTCAGCCAAAAATGTGGACTTTTATGGTGATTTGATAAATCCATCGATAAGAATACAAATGTCCAGTGATACCACTCACACTAATTTATGTCACCCACTGATTAGTTGTGGATTCGTTGAACTGATGATTTCCTGTGATCTGATTGGCTAAGTTCTTCTGGCGATCCTTCTGCACATTTGGTTGTGTACGGCACTTTGGTCCAGTGTTGAAGAAACACAACATTATATATATATATATATATATCGTTGTGAAATATATAAATACTATATATATATATATATCGTTGTGAAATATATAAATACTGTATATATATATTTATATCGTTGTGAAATATATAAATACTATATATATATATATTTATATCGTTGTGAAATATATAAATATGTTTTGATACTGTACTACGTAGTGGATTCCATCCGGTGGGGTACTTTTCCAAAGAAAAGTACTCGGAATTGGGGTACAACCTGGCGTGCATCTTGACATTTCCGTGCCACCAGCGCAAGGGCTATGGGAATTTTATCATTCAATTCTCGTACGAGTTGTCGAAAAAGGAGGAAAAGGTACAGAAGTAAGCAAAAGAGCGCTATACAATTGCTCGTTGTTGTACTGTAGGTGGGCAGCCCGGAAAAGCCACTGTCGGATCTAGGGCTGG